GCTAAACCCATCCGGTGATTAAATTTAAAAAACAATCAGCACATAAAATGATGGTGAAAACATTTCAGGTAGTTGCAGCTCTGAATTACCATCATATCCCTGAGACCTGCTGCTAATGAAAGAAAACAGATGTAAAGGCCAATTTAATTATCAATAAAACTGCAAAAACTAGAAACTTTATTCTGAATTATGTGTTTTGTTTTGCATTATTTATCATGAGCGACAAAATTAGAAAAACAGAAGTCATGACAACACTTTGATTAGCAATCATACCATTTATTCATTTTTTATTTTCAAAAAAGCACAAACATAAAAAAGGAATATTTGAGTAAGGCAGTTTGTACATCAGTTTGGTATGTTCCATCGTCTTCTCGCGCTCAGCCAGAAGAGCATCTCTGACTAGAAGAACATGAAGCAGAAGAAGAAGCCGGACCTCGGTCCTTCCTGTGCTCATGTAGATCTATTCATTACTGCATTAGAGAAGGTTTCTAATGTCTGGATGCATCATCACTGATGACAGTATTCCAACATGGCAGCACATGTTTAAATACCCACTGGTGGCAAAACAACTGTGATGATTTGTGTTTTCTGAAAAGCAACATCCATGAGTAGCTTGACTCAGTGTGTGGAGATGAGCGGGACTGGAATTAATACCAAACTCCTCCAAAGCCGAGGCTGCTTATTTTCAAAAAGGCGACTTTTTGAACCGCAACACGCTTTGAGTTCATTTGTGTGTCAATAAATTCACCACGTTGTCTTCTCTAAACACACAAGCTCGACTAAATCATCGACGTACGCTACGTTATTCCATGAAAGCAAAATAAATCATTTGGCAACAGACGTGATCTACCCGATAAGGCAGATAAAACATTTAACGCTTCTCCTCGTTATACAAAATGAGTGTGAATTCAACTCTCAGTCGATTGACGTGGTCGTGAAGGTTCGTCTTTCTGCTGCAGGTCAACATCTGTGTCGAGGATTAGTTGTGAAAATCCTACAGCAGGAAATTAAACTCAGGTTTCATATAAAAATTACTGAATTTTCCCAGAAGACAGACAAAACAAGTACAAAAGACGGGTATGAAATGCTCGAGAGACAACTCAAAATCTCAAAAAACAAAAAAAAAGGGATCATGCAAACTATAGAACTCTTTAAAACCAGTTAGATTCTCCATTTACAAAAGCAGACATCATGTTACCAGCGAGCCCGTCGACCCTGTGAGCAGTCGCTTTAATTTTGGTCGAGTGGGGATTTTAAATTATTACTCAAAATAATAACAAAACAAAGCGGATAATGTTTAATCCTAGATTATGTTTTTCTGTTAAATAGTTTAAAAAAAAAAGAGAGAGAGAGAAGAATCTGAGCACATGTTCTCTGGGTGTTTTTCCTGAAAGTACACAGAAAATGTGCCTCCGACAAACAGACGGAAACCCGCTGAGAGAAACACCAAAGTGGGATTAATCAGAGCGGTGGTGGAGATGCATCGAGGGTCATAATAATCCTTAACCACGGGTGGATGGATGGCACCAACCCCCTACTCCTCCTCCCCCACCCTGTCCCGGGGTAAACAGCGAGCCCCCTGTGAGCAAATCCACCACCCTCCATCTGTGACTGCGCTTTTCACCGAGACTCAAGTGTTACTGTGAGAGGATTTACTGACAGAGAGTCGGGCTTTTATTCCATCAGGAGCTCTCAGAGCGGAGACAACCCACGATGGAAACGAAACACTCGGAGAGATTTCCTGAGAGGAACAAAGCTGCAGCGTTCTGTGTGGAAGTGGGTGGAGGACGCATTACTAGAAGTCATGCCTGTGTTTCAGCACACGTGTGTTAGTTTACATGAGAGATCCGTGTACATCAGCGGCACCCAACCTGTTTGACTTTCACGGCTCATACAGCAGGAGCCTACGGTTTGTATGAGAACATTTAGAAAAAATGCAAAAACTAAAAGGAAAATCTGAAAAACAAGCATTGTGTGCATTCACTGTGAGGTTGGGAACCGCTGGCGTACAGATTGCTGAACAGTACCGACAGGACAGAACCCAGGAGTCAGCACCCAGTGAGGAGAATGATGCCGGTGACAATCATGCACAGGGAGAAACAAGGAAATCCATTTTTAACCTAATACGACCCAGATTGTACGGTTCATCCTCTCTTGTTTGGATCTGATTGGGTTAAAAATCTGTTTTCCTTCTTGCCCCTATGCCATCTGTTACATGAGCAGCACGGTGCAGCGACTCCCCCATCGATCCGTCAGCCACGTTTCTGCTCCTTTTCTAGACCGTCTTCCTGGCCGTTAGTACCCTGACGATGCTGCCCACTCCTCCAGCTGCCAGAGCCTGAGAACACAGCGAGGGAAACGTGGTCAGGAGATTCTACCATCGATGTGATCCAAACGGCACATTGTGTGTCCACATCTCCAACCAGAACCCACAGTCCCTGCACTGTCTGAAACTGCAAACCCCTTCTATGGAGAATATTACTGATGTTCTTCTGCTCCTAAAGCTAAAAATCTACAAAAACAGAAGCCAGTTCCAGATGTGTTTCACCTCCAACATCAGCTTCTGAGCATCAAGTCGAGCTCAGAGTTTATGAGGGACTCTTCAAGCTGCTTGTATCACAGACAGTAATGATGTCATGAAGAAGTGCTGATCTGTTGGACCTGCAAGGATTCATTCACTTCTAGTAAACTATTAAATTAATTGTCAACTATTTTGATGAGCCATTAACCACTGAGTATTTTTTAAGAAATATGAGTGGAACTTCTGATTCCAGCTTCTTAAATGTGAATATTTTCTGGTTTCTTTACTTCTTTATGACAGTAAACTGAACATCTGTGGACGTCATCGTGGGCTTTGGGAAACTGTCATTTAACAAACCAAGTAATCTATTAAATCAAGAACCGATTACTCGCTGTTGTGGCAGCTCAACGTTAAATACAGCTGTTTTTCCATCAGGCTCATGAAACACTTTGGTTTATGTCATAAACACATGCCCATATGTGGTCAGAAAGAATCTATTAACATTTTCTTGAGCCTACAGGGTTAAATGGCAGCGATTGTTTCTAGTTTCTAGTTTCAGCCCAGTGTCAGTAAATATAATAATGATCCCAACAAGTTCCACACAGTGCAGCCTAGTGTGAAGGAAGAAGAAAATAAAAAAAATAATAAAAACATGAGAACCGATCTGATAGAAATTCATCCAGATTCTAAAATCAGCTGGAGGCGACCAAATCAGAGCAAAAAAATCAGGACTCGTTCATAAACATTCCCTGTCTGGGTTAAAATTGGAACTTTTCTAAATGGAGTTTGGTTTGATGAAGGTTCATTATTAAACTGTAATAAACTGTTTTTCACTGTTGATTATTTTCTGGACGAATCCATCAGTTGTTTGGTTTCTAAAATATCAGAAAAATTGTAAAAAAAAAAAAAAAAATGCAGATCAGTTTTCCTCCACTTGATTGTGCAAAGATTCAGACCATGATGAGCGACTGGTGTCCAGATGCTGTGGGTGGTTTGTGGAATCAGTGTCACGTCTGTTAAAATCAGTCGTGTTGACTGAAGACGGCCTGAAGGAAAGAAGCATCGCGTCACGTTGGAACTGAAACATTCACCTTTTCGTGCCACTGCAGCAGGACGGCGCTGCTGTTCTCTGACGGCCTCTCGAAGCCTTTGTAGATGTACTTCATCAGCAGGTCCACGCCGTTCTTGTCCAGCGACTGCACCCCCTTCTCGATGTCACTGCTCTTAAAGGCACTGAGCACCTTCAGCACCAGACCCTCGGCTCGGTCCTGCTCAGGGAGGCAGAAACAGATGAGTTTAGCTCATTTCTAGCCCGGTTCTAAAATCATGAATCAGTCTCACAAGTCAGTTCCAACCCGGAGCCGAGCCACGACTTAGAGGAGCAGAGTGAAGGATTTAGAGGCAACCTGAACCTTTCTAAGGAACCTATGATTATAAAAGCATGGAGTGCCGTCTGTGACGCCACTGTTTGGTTTGTCTGGAAAACAAACCTACCTTAACGTTCTGGTTCTTCGTGTTGATGGGTGGGTTCTTCAGGACTGCATGTAGCGCCTCCATGAGATTTCCTGTGCAGGGAGGGTTAAGGACTCAAAGCAAAGGGCCACCCCCACATCACAGCCTCTGTCAGGATAACTAGCTTCTCTACAAGCACCGATAGATGTCAAAAACAAAGCCGTCCCACCAGAACCCAGTCAGACCTCTCAGGCCGGTAGCGGGCGGTTTTTAAAAGCCCACATTCATCCAGATCTGGGGAAGGTAACTTTCTGTGATGTTGGTCTTGTTTTCTGGAAGGTAAAAATAATAAAAGAAAAAAAACCACACACACAATTACTGCATCTCACTAAAAAGAAATAAACCTAACAAACCTGAATTCTTTTCTGTTTTCTCTGATTTATGATCAGTCACTTGTGGCCAACTATTACATTTATCACAAAGTATTTAGATTTTTGGATTCTGATGAACCAATTCGAGTCATTTTTGAAGGAAAAACTGCCCAAATCCTCCTCAGCAGCTGAATACATTCTGGTTTTCTGGAGCTACATCAATAAAAGGCTCTGTCTTTATGCATCCCGATGAATTCAGCCTTTCAGTGAAAGAATTATTGCTGTAACCACAACAGGAATCCTGCAAACCAGTTTAGCTGCAGCTACGAAGAAGCTTCAGTTTTCTCATCAGATCAAAAATCTGACACAGATCAGATTATTGCAAATATTCCTCTTTACAGTGTTTCTTCAGTAACCTGCAGCCCAACTGAGACGCAGCAGGAGAATGAATCCCTACTGAAAACAAGCTCTGGAATCAAACCACTTGATTGGTTTACATCAAACCGCTGAAGCCTCACGTTAACGTCTAATCTAACATGATAACAGACATACAATATGATTCTGGATGTTTATTTTAAAAGCCAAGCATCAGTTTAATATCTGCTGTATTAAACATGTAAGATAAGATACCATAAAGGTGTGACAGTCACAGGAGCTAAACCCTGAATCCGACTCAACGTGAATCACAGCCTTTGTGATTTGCACTGATTCAAACTGTGATGTTAACTTTACAACCACTTACCCTTCAGCCGTAGCTTCAACCAGAAGCACAGAACACTACACGCTGTATTACATATAAGAGAAGAAAGGATTTCTTGTATTTAAAGGAGGAATGGAGCCACAAATCCATGTAATGTGGATATGAGAGAGAACTGTTGTTATATGCTTTAAATCTGAGGTGTCTGGACCCAGTGGTGGACCACATGTGGACATGAGCTGTGTTTGCTGTTTAAACTCTGCTGCTCTGTAGGATGAGGTGGGAGGTCTTATATAATGAGGAAGTTCTGCACTTCCCAGCCTCGTAAGGCCTAAAAGACTGAAATTAGACACAGCACAAGCCTCTCTGGATCCCACATACATCTACAGCACCAGAGTGATTTCTGGCAGGTGAGCCAAGCCTCCAGCTAACTGCTAAGCTAACCTGCAGAAGCACAATAAAGCTGCAGCAGCATCCCAGTGCTGCTAATAAAACCTCTGGAAGGCTGAACTGTGGGTTCTACAGACGGCCTGTGGGTTCTACAGACGGCCTGTTGGTTCCTGGACGCAGAAATCCCTGGAATGTGACTGTCAGGCAAGTCCGGACAGTAACTGGCCTGCTAGCAAAACGCCCATTGAAACAGGCGGCAGCAGCGGCTAATGAGGGAAACATGCAGATAAACGGTACTGAACACAGAACCGGGCCGACCGACCGGCCGCGAACCAGGCAGGCTAACGGGCAGCTAGCTAATCATGAGAAGGATATTGTCTGATGAGGGAGTCCACCTCTGCCTCGTCGGGACCCAGCTGGTTTTCTCCTCCGTCCTCCTCGTCCACAAATTTGTTCTCGTCGTACTCGTCCACGTCCACGCGCCGGAAGCGGGCCGACACGGTGTTCTTGGACATGTCGGCGGCGGTTGGAGCGTCTGTTTCTGGACCACGGAGGACGAGAGCTCGAGCCCGGCCTGTTCCTTCCTGGCGGCGCGTCTCTGCGGTACGGCGGTGACGGGCAGCAGGCAGCAGGCAGGCGGCTTCCTGGCTTCCTCTCCTCCTCCTCTCGGTCGGTTCTGCTTCTGTTTGCAGCGACTCCTGCTGGTCGACATCTGTAACTGCAGGCCGGTGGCTGTAATTCACGCTTCGGTCGTTAGAGGGCGATCAAACCTAAGAAATGTAACCACAGTAAGAGAGCGCTCATCTGCTTTATCCCATTTTAACTACTTTATTCTATTTTATCTACTTTATTCTATTTTATCTACTTTATTCTATTTTATCTAGTGTGTCACGACTCAACCCAACAAATATTTAACTAACCACTAAAAATGTAAACAAACAAACTCCCAAAGTGGCCCGTTGTTATTTATCAGCAGCATAACTACAAACTAGAACCGCTGATATCGTGTAAATAAGTAATATTTTTAATCTACCATATTATATTATAAATGTTGCTTCAGCGCTATCTCTGCACTGCTGGATAAAACATAAAAGGAAATGAAATATCTGTTTTATTTCTTTTGTCAAAAAATTATAAATATGCTTTAATATGATTTTTAAGAATTGTTATTAAATTGTAAAATGCATAACATGTAACATATGTGTGTAAGTGTAGGCCTACACTTATTTTATTTTTATTTTTTTTTATGTATTTTTTTGTCTTGTGATTTTCTTCCTCTTTTATTTACTACACCACCCTTGATGTGGCATCCTTTGGTGATATTATTAACCTCATATTATTTTTGAATAAAGCACATTGAGTTGAACTGAAGTCTCTTCATGACATTTACCTAATTGGCCCCAATGCAAACTACAGGTCTGATTTTACTTTGTTTTTTTTGCCATTTCTTATTGTGTTTATCCATTTTCATAAATGCTGTAATTAACTTTTTAATCTTTTAAGAAAGAAAAACAGAGGATATAATAAAAGCCCAATCATCCCATCCATGACGGATGCTGGCTAAAACTGCCAGATAATCTCATAAATGATTATATTCTGAATAGTTTTTAAATGTGCCGTCACTGTATCACAACGATGATATAAAGGCTAAACTAAGAAAAGAATTGCTTGGTATTAATCTGGTTCTGCTGTTTGGCAATCTTATCTGATCTTTGAACATATTTTAAACATGATGACCTTTTTTTTCTACAATAATAAAAGTTAGTAAAACACAAATTTATGTACATTCATAAATATAATTGTCTATTATTTTTTTGTCTTTTTGACGTGTATTTCTGTCTTGAAATGCTCAACAAAAACTGCTTTTATTTCTTTTCAGATAAATGTCAGTAGAAAACAAACACCAACGGAGCTCATTTTCTATCATATTTAAGCAAAACAAATTCAACCAAAAGAAAATAATATGTTTACATGAAATAAAGTTTTAAGAAAAAGAAAGAAAAGCAAAACTAATCGAACAAATCAGAATAATTTATTTACATGGAATTCTATTAAATTCAAGTTATTTTACAATGCAGGATCATGAGGATATCAGTCTTAAAAAAGAAACAGAACTGATCCTGTTAAACTTTAAGCACTTTAATCTGATTTATCTTTCGCCCATTTATGGGGCGAGCGACCATATTTGGTAACTTCCTTGGCTGTTCAGTATGTCCGCCCTGTTTCTCTCCTTGAGGTTGAAGAACCATGTGAACTTTGATTTAGTTTTTATATCAGTGTCAGTATCACTACCTCACAAAAAATGTCACTAATGTTCCAGGACTTTATAAACGTTTTGTTACTGGTTTGCATTAAACTCCACTTTGATTTATTTTCTTAGATTAGTGCCAAAACCACCTCCCAAAGAACAACGTGACTAAATGAACTTTATAAATACTTCGTTATTGGTTGTGTATCATGACCTCAAACTAAAATGTTTCTAAACAAATCCTTTTTGCAGTTTTTCTTTTATTTATTATAAATTCCCTTTTGTTTTTTTTAACTATTGACGGGCAAGTTACCATAAATAGTAGCTTTATGTATCTTGATTTTGTTTTTCTTTTAAAGTCACAAAAGTAAAAAGTATCTTAAAATATCCTTCAGTAACACCCTAGGGTTGGAATTTTCCAAGTATTTCAAGGAGAGCCCTATAAAGGGTTAACAAACATTTTTCTTTTTGTTTTTTTAATCTAAAAAGTCCCACCTTACAGCATTAAGATGATCCACAAATATCTCTTTCAAGTTTCACAGCCGTTTTCAGAACTATATTTGACCGGCCTCGATTCCCGGATTTGTTGGAGCAACATGATCTCTTCATTTACTTTTACTTTTTTTGTAGCAAAGCCCAAAGCGGGGAAGTTCTAAAGATAGGATCGCTGATTAAACACAGAGCGCTCGTCCTGTCAAGTAAACCAGGCGTCTTGTTGAGGTCTCTTTTTAAAGAAAGAGCAAAGAACCAAACACACGATTTACATACTAAGTGGACACATCTGTTCCACATTAAGGAAGGCAATTAACAGCAGTATTCAGTGGTATAAATGTTTTGATAGTACAAATGGAATAATGGCAGTAATGTGCATGATACTCCTGTACAGTAGCCACATACCTCAGCCCTATGACGGGCATCCAGTCTGATAGGACCCAGATGCTTCTGCTCCACTGATGAAATCTCGGAATGCAACCAGCACAACTGTGTGTGTGTGTGTGTGTGTGTGTGTGTGTGTGTGTGTGTGTGTGTGTGTGTGTGTGTGTGTAATCATATAAAAACTGTTCCTTTTATACAATTAAAACTGTGATATGTAAAACAGAGAATCTTATTGTTTCTGATGCTCTTCATGAGGCTCTAATATGTTCTCATGCAGTCAAGTAACGAAGTCAATCAAGACAAGTAAGAATTTGCAACTAAAACTAATTTATTAAGTGAATTTATCCAAAACTTTAGAGTTACATTGTTGAAAGACACAAAGAAAGTGTGAGGACTAGTTCACCTCGTGGTACACATACTGGTACATTGCCAGCATTGGAGTCTGAAATGAAATGAAATTAAATTAAATTAAAGCATTGGAGTTTCAGGTTGCCAGTCTTGTCTTTTTAAATAAATAAAAACAATCCATATTTGTAGATATATTGTGAAAAAAGGACCATAAAAGAACATTTCTATTGTATTTTTGTTTCTTTACAGTGGCCCATGTTGACAGCTGTGCCCTGATGGTCCTCTGTTGGTAAAGCAGGCTGTGTGTGTGTGTGTGTGTGTGTGTGTGTGTGCGTGGGCTGAACCTACTGACCGTTTCACTTCTGTCTTGGCAGTATTTATTTAACTGGCTGTGTAATGGGTGGCCTGTGGTGAGTCCACCGACCACCACGTCAGCCCCTGATGTCGGCTTTTTTCTCCTGCGTCACGTAAACGTGCATTTTTTCCTCCTTGCAGGAAACAAGAGCGACTCCATGCAGCTAATGCACACACTCATCTTTATTTGCAACCGTGGAACAATTTAGAACAAGCACAAACTGATATATCTGCTTGTCAGAGTGTTTGACAAACAGGCAAACGTTCTGGATCCTTCCGATCTTTCATCCTCAAACTCGTATGAGCTCATGTTCGACGCTGGCTGGAGGCCCTGTGCTGTTGCCGGGGTAACGGGCAGGCCTGACAAAGAATAAGTAGCTCATAACACATAGGCCTTTGCTGGGAAGTCGGGACACACCTATGTTTCATTTATGACTTCTTTTTTTTTGTAAGAAGTGGAATTTTTAATTTCCTTATCGGCCCTGTCTAGACTGCTCGCCCTGTGCCTCAGAGGGGAAAGGACAGCGCTCGCTAATGCACTTCCTCCCTCGTCCTCCAGATGTATGAGAAAGTGTTGTTCACCGACCTGGACACGTCTGCGTAAGTGTGAAGCTGAATAGTGCAGCCAGAATAGCAAGAATGTGTGATTGTGAAACTCTCAGAGAGTTCCCACACAGGCTGCTAACACGCCGCTCTCCCACTCCCCTCAGCTAATGAACACGTATGAATAATAGCATGCACACACATTTTCTTTTCCCTTTCTCTCACTGTCTCTCTTCCACTCCCTCTCTCCACACACACACACACACACACACACACACTGAGCCCGCCTTGCGTGCATTGGTCATGAGTGTCCTCATTGCAGGCTTTGTGGAGTGCCCCAACCTGTCTGTGCTATGTGAATGACTCAGCACATCAAAAGGTGAGGATGCAGGCGCATACATGACCCTCACGTGAATGTGCAAATTAGCAAAGCCTGGAAAATTTCAATATGGAGAGCGTTTCTTCTCCTGCTGGGACAGTCAGGCCCTGCAGAAGAGATGGAACTTTAACTTCTGTCGGTGTCTGAGCAAACCTGCACGGCGTCGGGCCAAGTGCTTCCGTGCCAGAGGAGAGGACTAACAGAACAGCAAAGCATCCTAAGCACATAATTAGCACTCTCATATGAAGGGAATATTGCTCTTGGATGATGGTTTAATTGGGGAATGTAATGATTTAGCCGGTGCTGCGTTGGAGCAGGTCTTCAGGCTGTGGGTGGCTTCCTTCAGTCTGTAGGCGAAAGTGATTCTGGTGAGTTGTTTTGTAACATCAATCTGAGGTTAACGTTACCCTTTTAGACCTATAATGATCATGTACATGTTTTTGGTTTTGTGATTTATTAAATCACGTATATCAGTCATCGTGAGACTCCAGACTGAATAGGAGGCAAACCAGAAACGATTTCTAACAAAACCACTGATGAAAAAGACGTAAAAAAAAAACAAAAAACAAATGCCTTCTATGTCTGAAATACACCACATAACAGAAATATGTGTTTATCAATGAGTACAGATACGTGTGGTTTAACATAAACGGGGTTTCAGGTTGTGATGCACATGGAGAATACGTCTTTATTTGCCCTGGTTGTTCGGTTGTACTGGAAGTGATCTGAACTGTTCACAGCAGGAAGAAGTTTTTATTTATTTTTATTTCACCTCAATTTCTTTCCAATAGAACAGAATAGAACAGAATGGCTTTATTAATACAATGGAAACTGAGACGGCTGGCAAAGATAAAATACACAATTTTAAATGACTGCACAATTCAAACATAGTAAATTTACCTCTCACAGGTGTCTAATCAGGAGCATATATTTGTTTTTTTTATCAGGTTTTCAGAATTTCTGTCACCACAGTTCAATGGAAGTGAATGAAATCTTTCTTTTCTTTTCTTTTCTTGGTTCTCTTGAGTTTGAAAATTGAACAAAAAAAAAACAAACAGCATCTCTAGATTTTTCTCTTCCAGGGAACAAAAATACCCGTCACTTGGGGTAATTCTTCAGTAAAGGGAAGTATGAACTATTCAAGGAAGCGGTCCTTGTGAAAACACTGACACTTACCATAAACAAAATTCCATTCACCTCAGTTGTCCTGGATCAGCCACAGAAATCTCAGAGACGGAACTATATTATCATTAAAAAAAACCTAAGTTATCTGATAGTTGCTATTATTGCACACGAATAAACCACAAAATATAACCAGACGAGTTCACACAGTGCTGACTAAGCCGATCAAGGAAGTCCTCTTGTCAGCGTATCAGTGTTTGTGACAGCCGCCTCACGCTGCTTCACTGGTCGTCCTGCCTTTTCAAGTCCACCGCCAGTGATTAGAGGGGAGCAGCAACAAACTGAGCAGGCTACAGCAACTAGGAAGCATCCAAGAAAGGTTTCTGATTCTCCAGATAAAAAAAAACAGTTTGAAATAAAAGCAGTCATTGTTGAGGAGCACTTGCTGAGTTAGTCTCACTGTGAGAAAAAAGTTCCACACTGCAGCTTTAAAACCACACACAGAACAACCTGATAGCAGCTGTTTCATTACAGGGGTGGGATGTATAATCATCATTATTATATATTATTAGATTTTATTAGCGAGTGAACAACCAGTTCTTGAGGCTGATGTGTTGGAAGCAGGCTAAATGGGCAGCGTAAGGACCTGAGGGACTCTGACAAAGGCCAAACTGTGACGGCTCGATCAGTTGCAGTTACTATTGACCACAACTAGTCCAAGGAAGGACAGCTAGTGAGCTAATGACGGGTTAGAGCACTCAGGATGTTCATGGGGAGCGATGACAAGCCCGTCATTAGCTGATACCACTGAAGAGCTTCTGTTGCATAAAATCCTGAAAACCTTAATGCTGCCTATGATAGAAAAGTGTGACCACAGCTTGCTGAACATAATCACAGACCGGCCAGAGCGCCCATGCCGACCTCATCCACTGCCTAAACATTGCCTGTGTTGTGCAAGAAGGAAAACCATGAAATGTAACACCTACCTAAACACTGCTGCAGAAAACGCACGTCCTTTCATGGCAGCGGCATTCTGGGCAGGATACTGTTCCCTGCTATGCTGCAGAAAGTGTTCAAGAAGGGTTTGAGGAACACGACATTCTCCTCTCCGTCCCGTCTCTGCCTGAACGTCTCTGCAGGAATCCCTGGCTGCTGCTGATCTGGATGTTTCTGAACTGCACCAAAACATTGTGAAGTTTTTTGTCTGTTGTTTCTTAATCCTCAGCTTCCCTCTCTCTGCTCTCCTCTCTGCTGCAGCAGATGGCCGCCCACCTGGTCTCGGTGGAGGTTTCTTACAGTTAAATTCTTCTTCCCCACTGTTGCCAAGTGTTTGCTCCAGAGGGAACTGTTAGGCTTCTTTCTACAGCGTTGTGACATCTGGACCTCACTACATGAAGTGTAAAGTGAACTGAATGACAAAAAGTTCACGGTGCTGACTGAGCCGGCTGATTACCCAGACCTCAGGCTCATCACACAGCTTTGGGGTGTGTTGGACACACATGTCTAATCAATGAACTCACAGCTTTCTGGACTTTCAGGAGGTCTGTGGAGTCCAGGTCTCGATGGGACAAAGCCTGAAGGTAGCCGACACAATATTTAGCAAATTAACTTAATGATCGGTGTATAATTTGCGGGCTGTAAGGTGGCGCAGTTGGCAGCACTGTTGCCTCGCAGCTAGAAGGTCGCTGGTTCGCGTCCCAGTGGGGGCACTGGGATCTTCCTGCGTGGAGTCTCCATGTTCTCCCCGTGCAGAGTGGGTTCTCTCCGGGTTCTCCGGCTTCCTCCCACAGTCCAGAAACATGCTGAGGTTAATTGGTGATTGTAAATTGTCCGTAGGTGTGAATGTGAGTGTGCTTGGTTGTCTGTCTCTAAGTGTAGCCCTGTGATAGACTGGTTACCTGTCCAGGTGAACCTGCCTTCACCCTGAGTCAGCTGGGATAGACTCCAGCCCCCCATGACCCTAGTGAGGATTATAGATAATGGATGGATGGATGGATTCAGTTGTGACTCTGAAAGTGCTGCTGTAGAAATGTAGTATTGCTCGATGTTGGGGAGTCACAAGAGACAGATTAAAGAAAAGAACTATTATAGAGGATTCTTGACTTCCAGCAATGCAGCCAGTTGTACGTGAACATCCACATCTTCGCTGCTGGTTTCAAAAAGTCTCCAAGCCTGAACTGACATAAATTTTATGATACTATTAGTGTTATTCTCTGAGACATTAAAAAGCTCCGTCAGAGCCACAGAAGACAATTTAAAAACGGCTGTTATAGGATTTATTTTCAAAAATGTTTGACATTTGCATCAAAACTTAAGAAAACTTTCAGGATGGGTGATTTATGTGATGTTACAGAGAAAGTGAGAAAATGTTTTTCTCTTGTAGTTCCTGTTAATCCAGCATCTCCAAAGAGCTTTCAGGTACGAATATGCAAATGTTGTGAGATAACATCACAGAGAGCAAAATAAGATCCAAGAGAGCGATACGGTGATGTGTTAGCCATAAAGCTGGAGGGAAAACATTAAAATGTTCCGTCTCTGCTGTGGACTACAGTCCAACAGATACTACAGCAAACTTTTTATATGCTTAAAAGGTCTGTCTAAATACTGGTTGGAATAGGTTAATCCTAACACCCAGAGCATGTGAGCCAAGCAAAAGGAAACGCAGCATTGTTGAGCTGCGACCCTGCAGCCTTCACTCAGCTGCTGTGTTGTTTCAGGACGGGGATGTGGGAGAGCACTCGAACATTTCAACAGAAAGCATTACACACAAGATAAGATCTCTCTTTTATTAATGTCCTTTAACAATGTACATAAACATCATGCGTCGCCAGTTATAATACAGATAATGATCACAGCAGTGTTTATGTACGTATCTGAATTCCCTCGTTCATCTCGTGACGTGTAAACATCGTCAAAGATCAGAAAATGTAAGAGATTAAAAAAAAATACAGAAAATTGCTACAGTTCATATTTTTTCTCTAAATGAATTAATGCTAAAAATAAAAATAAGAATGCATCATGATCCCTCACAGAAGTTGACAGGATAAAATGATCAACGCCTGTTTTGATCCAAACTTTATGAACTATTGCAGGAACTTAATCACTTTCTTCAGAATAGTGTATACGGACCGATCTATAGCACACTCACATCCGTCTGTTAAACACACGGCTACAGCAAACAGATGTTAGTCTTTATATTTAACCTACTATCAAGTGAAAACAAAAGTTACCGCTTGTTGTGATGAACCTCAGCTTTACAGGGCTTGAGAGTGAATTTGAAGCTGATTTGTTTGACTCTTGGTTCTGATGCAGTCGGTTTTGTCCACAGCAAGCAGCTGTGAGATTAACTCTCAGCACCAAAGAGAAGACGAAGGCAACAACCTGGCAAACACAGCAGAGCATTTAGCAGCAGAAGGACCCTGAAATCTTCCTTGTGACCAACACTTGACTCCATGACGGTCTGTAAATAAGCAAATGCTCGCCAACCAGTTCAGCTCCAAAGGCTTTAAGATATAAATGTTGTGTTTGCAACTTGCAGTAAGCCTACTTCTCTTCAGTAGTAATAATTTTAATTTGTTCACAATCATAGTTTTTCTACATCCAGAAACAACCAAACCAGCTGTTTCCTCATTCCCAGTCTGCTCGCTTGTATGTAACCTACAGACGTAAGTACGGCGTTGACCTTCTCATCTGAGTCCATGACAGGAAGTGAATTAATGTGTTACCCAAAACATCCAAAACTATTTCTCTAAAGAACACATGCAAGAATGCAATTACGAATAGAAACATAAAAATGAAAAGAAAAGGAAGAAAGAAAGAAAAAGAAAAAATGCACAAAAAAAAAAAATCTGCTAGAAAAATCAGCTATAAGGCAAACTGCAAAGGTTTCTTGGGTGTGAGTCTCTGCAGCAAGGCTTCAGAACACTCTATCTTGTTTTCTCAGTTTCTCCCAGACCTACATTAACATACAGGGGTCGGGAATGCTTCAGTGTAAAATTCCACTTCTCCGTGTGCAGCCGTCGGGCCCCTGCAGGTATAGGTGTAGTGTGTCAGATTCCAGGCCTCCACTGCTGCAGGTGTAGGTGTAGTGTGTAAAATTCCACTGAGCGCCGCTGACAGCCGTCGCTTCAGCTGCGAGCGGGTCTCGTGATCGCGTTCAGCCTTTCCTCACTCTGACCTAAGCTCCAATCTTTGTTCAAAAGGTCCGACGGCGAGTTGGTTTAGTCAGAGGAGGAAATGGCCATGGAAAAACAAACTTTACTTCTATCTAAGAGGCACCCTGAAACAACATGGTCAGGAAAATAAACACACCTTTATCCTCATGGAGAGAGACGCAGAGCGCTAGAGAGAAGGAGCAGGGCCGTTTCTATGGTATCAAGTTTTGTTTTTCCAAAATGGTGGCTTTAATATGAGGCACTCCCTACGGGGGCAACAGGGAGTGCTCCTTCCCTGTAGGTGGGTAAACATCATTGAGATGTTTGAGGTATCCAGACGGGGTGCACTTGGCGTGTTTAGGAGTTGCCATCAAACAAAACCAATGGTTACGAGCTCCCCATCCATGTTTTCAAGCAGGATTACATGTTTAGACCGGCCATCCGGCGAGAAAAACAAAAACATGGTGATTAGCATGCTCTGGAGTCGCACACAGACTCACAGACAGGTACAGTGCAGGTGAGGCTTCTCATTGTGTGCTCACACAGCACCGACTAAATTTAGAAGCATTCAAACTGCAAGTCATTGGACAGATGCAAATGCAGCTTCGCTCTCGGCGGCGTGAAGGCTGAGAGGCGTCCACACGGATCAAGTGTTGCAACAAGAGTAGGAGATTCACATGAAGTGAAAAAGCACATTCCAGGTGGACATTTCTGTAATACATGAGCAGGAAACCCAAACCAAAGAAAGGACTCACAGACAGTCTTGTGTTGACTATGGTCGATGTGGTAACGATCCAGTGGCACTGCAGTGTTTACCAAGTGTTCCAGTTTGTCTCACAGCTTCCAGGGAAAGCGACTATCAGCTGTTTGTGGTCAATCAAACCAGATTCGTGCAATTAAAGCCAGATGAACGTTCCCATCACAGGCTTTTACCAGTAAACGTTAAGGTTCTTTACAAAAGCCCTTTATCAGACACTTATTTGAGATCTAGAGTTTAACAAAACCATCATGATTAAAAGTATACAGAGAGGAGATCAGCACGAGGGCATTTTCCAAAAAGAAAATGCTTCACTTTGCAGCCGAGTCAACATAAATCCCTAAAGTCCTCCTTTTCAAAGTCTTAGTTTTAAGCTACTGTTTATCATTTCCGAGGTGATTCCAGGGTTTAGCGTGATGATCTCTTTTGAAAAACTTTTTTTTCGGGATCTCGCTGAGGGAGAAGGGGCGGGAGAGGCATGAGGGGTTCTCCTTTCGGGCCACGACGCAGTCCTTGATGGCTTCTTTAATAACCTGCAGGAGACAAGAACAAGGATTCAGTTCAGTTCAGTTTAATGTAATTCAGTTCAATTCAGTTCAGCTACATTTAATTTTAAAAAGTTGTGTCATCTGGAGGCTCCGTGAAGTCCCCGCCTCCTTCTCCACTCATCCCTCGCCACTCACTGCAGCTCATGCACACCGGCTCACCTGTAATTCTGCTCTGAGAAATTGCTCTGAGCTAAACAAGCAATATTTAACATTTGAGTAATTTGGCCGTACATGTTCAAACTGATTCTGAAGAAGAATAATGACTCAAAAAATTCCCACCACGCAAGATGAAAGGCTCGGTTCTTTAGGTTTGGTGAGTATAAACGTCTACATCCGTGTTTTTGAGATTGTCATCAGAA